CAAATAATATATATATATGAAAGATAATATATAAATGAAAGTTTTTTATAACATATAAAACATATATATGTTTTGGATATATTAGTTACAAAATAATAAAATTTGTATAATAAAATGTACTTACAGGTCTAGCAATATTCGCGGGCCTGTTAAGAAGAGTTGATCCCGATTTTCTAACAGGAGTTGAATGGTTTAATGCAGGACTAATGCTGCCAACCCTATTACTATTACTTGTACTTGATTCTCTTCGTTGTTTTTTGGCTGGACGACGAACTTCACTTGCACTAGAGTCCAATCTTTTAGTTTTTGGCGTTTCCTAAATCAATAATTTTATATCATGTATTTTATATTATAATATACATAACATACATATTATTACAATATAATATGTATATTATATATTATATATATTATATTATGTATATTATAATATGATATACATAATATAATTTATTAAATATAGTCTATAATTTTAATTTACTAAAATGTTTATCATATCATATATCAATCAAATTATTTATTGTAAGTCATCAATCAAATTATAATACAATCCTAACCTTACGAGGTTTAGGTGTCTTTACTATATTCTTCTTCTCAGATATACTTTCTTCTTTAAGTCTGTCGAATAAAGAGTCTGGGTCTAAGCCATCTTCAAATACCTATAGCAAATAGTATTACTATAATTGTTAGTAGATGATTTATGGTAAGTTTATTATATAACTATTATAATAATTGTTTAAATATTATTTTTTTATAATATTATAATAATCAATATATATTTATAAGATATTTTTTATTATTATTTTTTATAAATTTTTAATATACATATTGTATATATATACATTATAATTTTTATTTTATCTTTAGCTTACCTCTCCATTAGCAATAAATTCTTCTATTGCTTCTACTGCATCTTTAAATGCACCAGATTTACTAGATTTTACAAGAGTATCTTTGTATTCTAGATATGGTTTTATATTAGATTCTTCTATCCATGCGCTATAAGAAATATTTTTATAAGTTTTAAACTATATTACAAAATTTGAAAAAAAATAAATAACTTTATTCAAACTTACTAATTATTTGTTCCAAAGAAGAAAATACATTGAACTGGTCCCTTCTTAGTATTTGTTGGTTTCTTTAAGTCCTTTGAAGGATTAGACACCTTAAGATGTCATTGAGAAATTAGTATATACATAAAAATTATGCCAAACATATTATACTTCTATATTATTAAATAATAAAATAAAATAAAAAAAAATTATATTTGAAAAAGAAAAATATTGATAATATTCATATATTTTATATTATTTAATTCATATTTTATAACAAATTATATTTAAATATTTTAAATATGAAAAACAAAGATATAAATGTAATTTATATATTTTTATTCATTATATTATTTGTATTTACAAAATATTTGTCATATTATATCAAATTCACTCTATTATAAATATTTCAAATATGTTTTAAAGTAATTAAATTATTTTAAATAATTCAAATATAAATGTTATTAAACATAATTTAAATGATATATGTGCATAAATTAAATGAAATAATTTTATGTTAATTTTATCACATTTCTCTATTATTTATAAATGATATATAAAATAAAAATAGATAACAAATAAATTACCAAAGAATTATCAAAGAATATAATTTATATATTATAACTTAATTCATTTAGAAATTAAGAAAATCATAATTAGCGCGCTATCATTACAAGTATTTATTTCATAAAAATTGATTTTGAATAAAATTAATTTCTTTTTTTCTATAAAAAAAAATAATTTAAATAATAGTTGCTTGGATGTACATAATGTAAATATATAATTTTTGTTTTATCTACAAATATCATGATTAAAGTTATGAAATGGCAGAATATAATTTAGGTTATATTTTCGTAACCTGCGCGCCAATTTGAATTTGAAGGTCGGATGCGGCGGGAAATATATAATGAAAAGTAATAACATTATTGATATTGTATAAAATATATTAATTTGAATTGATATGATGTGCAATTAAAAAAATCAAATGGAGTACGAGACGTTCCCGCCAAATATGATGGCCGCGTTTGACTTCGTGGCGCGTACAACCAAGCAAAGTGTAGTTAACATAGAACCGTTAGTAGTTAACTCCAACTTACCCGACCAGGCCAAGGCGAAAATCCTTTCATCTTCGCCCTGAAATCCATAAAGATATTAATTAATAATCACTGTTTACATTGCACTACTTTTATTACAAACATTCATTAATTAACACGTAATACACACCATACAAGATCACCTAGTTTGAATACTTCTGACATAATAACACCTCCGTACGTTTCTCACAATCGGCAAGCGACTGACTGACGAGTAGAGCGTCGTTTGTGCATGACGACGTGATCCAAATACCCCCTCCAACATACTCAATGACTCAAATGAGTGTCTTATTTCTATTTATAGATTTAATTAATGAAATGATTAATATAAATATATATTTACCTATTATTTTTACGAAATTTATTATATTTTATAAAAATAATAATACCACAATAGTGTTAATTTCTAATAGCTTATTTCCGGTGATATAAAAAATTCTGATTTGTTAGATTCCCGTCCTACAATCTAATTTTCAATATCGTTTCATGAATAGCCAATCAGAATTGATTTCATAATTATAACATTTTTATATATAATTTTTATATACAGTATGAAATAAATATATAAATTACATTTAAAAATAATAATATAAGTTTTATTATAAGAAAAGAAATATTTGATAATAAATAAAAAAAATTAATTGTTTGATAAAGATAATGATAGACGTGAAAATGCAAGAAAATCTATGTTCACGGCGATACAGCTTTGCCAGCTGTCAGCCATCGATTGTAAGAACTTTTGCTGGCTAAGAAAGAAGCGTTACCTACAAAAACAGTATTTTTATTTCTTCTAAATACCCAAAATAATTCACTCGCGATTTATATAAATTTTACCAGAAATGGATAGTAATATTCATTATAATATGGTATGTTTTATAAATGATGAACATAATATATTTTTCATATGCAATATTTTAAATACGCTAATGAACAATTTACAATTTGTCTCAAATTGCCAATATGTTTTTTATTTAATATATATATTTTATATTTATTAAAATAATATTTTTATATATTATAATATCACTTGTGCATGAATACTGGCATGCAAATGTTGATAAAAACATTGTCTTGTGCAATTGTCGTTTGTTTTTTGAAAGTAATTTCATATAAAAAATTAAGTCCAATAAAAACTACCTTTTCTTTGTTATATTATTTATTTTCTTAATATTGGAGATTAAAAAAAAATAACATTGTTAGTGATATTAAAAAATATATGAATTATTTAAGTATAAGTCTTATTATGAAATATTAAAGTGATTATAATTTAATTTTAGCCTTTACAAACAAACAGTTCAAATGGAGAACCATCATCTCAAAATGAAATACCTACATTAACTGTAACTTTACCAATCATGCAAAATGATATAATTAATTCAGGAAATATTGCTGCAGCACAAACTTCAATTGAAAATCGAATGGTATGATATAAATTTGTTATTATATGTTTAAAATTATTATATGTTTTAAAAATTATTATTAAGGAAATTATAACTATAGGCTGAAGGAGAAGAAATTCCACCTCCAAAGGCAGATTTTTCTGCTCCACCACCTTATGAAGTAGCCACAAAATTACCTAGTTATGAAGAAGTACAACGAGAAAAAACATTACAAGGAGAACCTTACCCTCAAATGCACATGGTAAATAATTTTAAAATTATATTATTATTAATAATAATAATATTATTAAAAATTAAATATATATTATATCATTAATTAATATTTTATAGCCTGAAAATATTAGAACATCACCAAGGCCTTTAACAATTCTGGCTATAGATACTGAAGCTGCAGAAGGAGATCCAGAAAGTGGTTTACTTGGCACTGATTTTATGTTCTTTACAGCATTTTTGGGTAAATTTTAGATATAAATATTAATAAAATTATTAAAATATTTAATTAGTTTGCTATATCTTATAATAAAAAATATATATAGTTTACATAAATTTTTTATTACAGTTGCATTTTTGTTTAATTGGATTGGATTTTTACTTTTGATGTGTTTCTGTCATACAATTGCATCTCGATATGGAGCACTATCTGGTTTTGGTCTATCTTTAACAAAATGGACACTAATTGTTAAACATTCCACTGATCTTGCATCACGTGAAAATTCATGGCTATGGTGGTTGATAATGGGATTTGGTTAGTATTTTATTATTGATATATATTTTTATATATTTGTATTAATATAAAATTCATTTAATTTTTAGGAGTTTTGATTTGTGCACGAGCTATTGTTCAATATTTGAACATTAAACGTGGTTGGAGATTATTACCTGGAAGTGCTCAGGAACGTTTACTATTTTTTTATTAAGCCATTAAATCTGCACCTTTATGTAACTTGGCTTTAGAAAAAACATTTCTATTTGGGGTTGTATTTGTATAATATATAATCTACACCCTTTAAAAAACATTACTTTATATTGGCTATATATTATTCTATTACTAGAAAAAAATTAAAATTATTAAAACTATTTGCCAAATTTGCTTATACACTTACATATGAGATAAACAAGGCAAGATAAAAACAGAAATAAGATAATTTTTGCACACTATTTTATGTATTAGTGTCACATATATAAAATAAAATGTAAATTTTTATTGCTCAAATAGTATGGACAATGCTTTAATGTGAGATATTATTAATTTATACATTAACATTATTCACTTAAATATGAATTGCTTTGAAACATTTAGAAACATGTATAAATTTACTTATAAAATTAAAATCACGAGTAAAAAATTTATTTTGGAAAGGGAAAAACATATAATCATTGTCCTTAGACAGGTATTAAAATATAAAAGTTCTAATAGTGATATTGTGTAATACCTGTTAGTACTAGATAAGCTTTTAGAATTTTGAATATGATCTATATACTGATAATATGAATTGCTTGTTTGTATATTATTATAATTTATAGAGAGAATTCTTATTGAATTTGAAAATATAAATTACTCATATAAATTATACAAATGTATGGGTATATATATGATATGTACACATACATAAATGTATAAAAGAATTGCTGCAAATCTACATATATGCATTATATGTTATACTGTCAAAAACTTCATTGTTATATACTTATTACAACAATATAAAAAGCTAATGTGTCTTATATTTTTTTATCCACAATTATGTAAATATATTTTTTCGTATTGATTTTAACTCAGATTTAAATTATTATAAATTATATTTTAATTATAAAATATATAAAGTAATAGATGTTTGTATGTATGTATTTTTTAAATATAATTTTTAATTGTATATAATATATGAATGAAACTTTTACACGAAAGGTCCCATGGTGTAATGGTTAGCACTCTGGACTCTGAATCCAGCGATCCGAGTTCAAATCT